GGGGGGGGGGGGGTGTTGAAGCAGGTGCGGTTTGGGGTCCTTGGCGGCGGAACTATCGTGATTTTCGGCGTTGCCAATGGTGTTAGCTCGGGCGAAAGGGCGTGTGTTCGATTTGGAGGACGCCCGAGGATGTTTTTCGTTGGAGCGAAAATAAATTATTTGGCACTTTTGGTGCGCCAACCTGCCCAAATATTTTCTCATTAAAAAAAAAATTCTCAATAAGTATAATCCGGTGTTCTTTGACGTTGTTGGTGTCCTGCTGCTGTCAGCAGGCAAAGAAGCTTGTGATGAAAGCTTATTTGTGCGGGAAGTACGCCGACGGGCGTGTTGGCGGATCAGGTACATGTGTAGTCTATACATATCAGTTACATGTGTAGTCTATACATAGTTCTCGCGGGGGGGTTGTTATCGTCTGGGTCGACATGTTCACAGCCTGTCATCAAACGCGCTACAGCAGTAGCAAAATTGCTGGTGCTTTGTTCCACTAAATTTTAGTCGTACAACATCAAACACCTCGCGGCGTGACCTGATCTTCCGAGGGACAAATTCTCGTTGTCGAGAATCTATCTATGTGGACAGGCATAAACAGCACCACCTACCATGTTGTCGCGTTCACACCGATGCCCTCGACGCGTGCAGGCCTGCTACGACGCCGGGACGGCGCTCAACGCGCGAGGCCGTGGGGTTCAGCTGAGGAGGCAGGAGTGCTTCACCCAGGCCTGCCGCGCGGTCTGGCCTGACGACCAGCCGCTGCCCGTAGCTGTACTTGCCGCTCTTTCGATGTAGTGTGTGGCGCACGTGCCATCGGCTACGCACGCGGGGCAAGGTAGCTATGTTGTCTGTTTTGATGAAGCCGAGACCGGCGGGCGAATGTGCTGGCTCGATTTCCCAATGGGCGAACGGGCTAGGGTAGTTGCAGCATATTCGACATCAATCGAATTTCAGCCAGGTCTCAAACATGAACGGCGCACGTATGTGTTGACGGGGCGGGCTTTGGTGTGTCCCTGTGTATGCTGGAAAGGCTGGTTGTTCACGTGCTGCTGCTAATGAAGGGTTGGGTCAACATTCCGTAACACCTTCGTTGTGCAAAAAAAATAGGAACACGAGTTCGTCACGGTTGTTGTCGGTCGCGCGGAGCAGGGCGGACTTGCACTTCGGGTGTCACAAACGAATAAACATAAATAAATTAAAAAAATAAGTTTGGCAAGAAAGACATTCGGAAACGAGGTTCCATGTGTCTTGGTTCTTTTGCGAGAGTTTCTTTCGTCTGTCCTTCAGGAATATCTTGAAGGTTCACGGGGATTCCGACAGGTGCACGAGAACATGTGCGTTCAATTCGTTTGGTATTCGAATTAAGCTCATTTATCCCACCTCACATCAACACAAGAAAAACGAGCACGAATATTCTGTCCTGGTAATTGTATGCAGAGCTACTCACCACGCTCACCCCCGTCACAGCCCGAACGTGACACCCCTCAAATTTTCAAAACACACCGA